ATTTTTACTAATTTGATGATGAAGATATCAGTGGTGTATTCTTTTTTTCTTGATTCTTTGGATCAAAATTGTGTTTGAAAGGTTTGGTCATAATGTTGGAAGTAACTATACTTTATTTTCACTTTATATAGTATTCCTCTGCATCAGTATACCACATTTTATTCATTCTAAAACTATATTTTTAATTCATCCTACTTGACACTCACTGAACTCTTTACATCTAAAGACTACATTTATTTTTTCTTTCACTTTCTCCTACCTACTTTCTCTGTTTTCTGTTTCCAGAACTCCTGTTAGGCATGTTTTAGAAGCTTTGACTCTATATTTCTTAATTTTTCTAAATTCCTGAGTATAAAGACAAAGTAAAAGGATACTATAAAAAAATTACAGCCTTTTCCCTTGCATTTTAATTTTAGCAATCACATTTTAAAATTTCAATTGCTTTTTCATAGATATGGCATACTTTCTTGAGGATATTACTGTAAATACTGGAAGAATCTTTTGCCTGAATTATGTGTTTCCACTGATTGCTTTTTAAGATCTGTTCCATAACTTTCTGCAATTGAGAGATAAGAGAACATAGAAATTTAAAACACAAATTTAAAATTGAGACTATCTGGCTTTTATTTCTGACTCTACTGTTTGTGATCACGTATTCTCAGGCAGTTATTTAACCTTTGAGAGATTCAGTTCCTTATTAACAAAATAAACTTGTTCTCTACCTCATAAAGATGCTGTAAAGATTCAGTGGAATAATTTGTGTAAATTCATACTTAAAACATGTCTAATACTTAGTAATCACACAGTAAATGTTAGTGATTATAACTATATGTAAAGTGCAGTGTTCTAGATTCCAGGCACATAAGATTGACGCTGATTTGGGGCCATTCACTAAAAAACTTAAAACAAAGCTTGATATTATTTATTAAGCCCAGCATTCACTTTCTATCTCAGTGGAAGTTATGGTACATATTAAAATACCACAGTGTTCAAAATTGTGGTTGTATAAATTGATTTAATATTAAAATATAACCTGAAACTGAAGTCCTAGTAAGAATTCTTTTGCTTATTTTGTGCTTGGCTTTGCTTTTTTTTTGTACTTGAAAGGGGTGGGGAAATATGAGGCCATGCCTGTGGAGGTGCCAAGGTGGGAGCGAGTGTAAATGAAAAAGTCAGGCATGGACAGTGTTCGACAATATTCATAGGGATGTTAGATGTGTTAGGAATAACTATATTGTGGAACAAAAGATGATAAATAGAGCTGACCAACTGGAACTGCAATTTGTAGCAGAAGAGCCAAGTGGGTGTAGAAATGGATCCACAGCATGGGGGCTTACAAGCATGGCAGAAGAGTTTGGTTATTATCCTGTTATGTCAGAACAGATCCGAGATTTTTGAGCAAGAGGGTAATATGATATAAATAGATATTTTTTTTTTGCTAGTTTTAATTTTTGTTCCAATGTAGAGGATGCAAATATTCTCAATGTTTTGGATAATTTTTAGAGAAAAATTTTCTGAGCTATGTCTAAACTTTAAAGTCAGTTCTGTAAGACATTGTGCCTTTTGATCTAGTTTTTTTTTTTATATGTTGAAGTACCACTTTTGAGAGATTCTGAAGTTTTATGAAATGGGAATGCTGACCGTAACATTTCAAAGGTACATAGATTAAAAGTATTAAGTAAGGATAATGGGAAATTAAGGTTGCAGGTCTCACTCTTCAGTTATAGTAGGAAAATTAAAGACATACTACATAGCAAAGTTCAGAATAAAACATGTACATATTCAGGGTATGCAAGTTTATAAATTGCCTGGTTTATCTGTGACTACATTGCTATTGTATGGCCAAAGCATGGGAGAACTTTAGGATGTATATTTATAGACTGATTCTACAAGAGATAACTGCACTATTTCGGAATGCTATTGCTCTGTCATTTGTTGTGACTTATTGTTTTTAAATTTTTCCATTTTTCAACCTAATTGACTTAGAATGTCTCTAACGTGATTTGCAAAGAATTTTATATTTATATTTTGCAATAACCATTTGACTGACGCTCAGGTTTGAGACATGGCACTAAAAAGTATAAACATTTTGTAAGATAATAACTAACTCCTAAATATTTTATGATTGCCTGTTCCCTGCTAATTGGTCATGGACTGAAATTCCCCATTGTTTAATTTTTTTTAATTTGTGGGAAATTTTTATAAATGAGTATGTGGGACTTCATATCACAGCTGTTGTTATTTAAAGTTTGGACAGCATCATTACAAATGAAGCCCTGCTGTGAAATCAAAGTCAAAAGGCATCTTGGCATTCCAACCATTTCCTTAGGAGAAGATTACAGCTCAGTCTGTTGAACTTTATTGCCTTGGGCCTCATGACACTCTTCAGAAACATGCAAGGCATTTCTGTTAAAGAAACTCAGATGTGCTAGGACACAGGGACAATACATTCTTTTGCATAGCAGTGTCCTAAGCAAGGGAGTGAGGAATAAGTCAGGAAGAAAAAGAAAATTCATATTTTTTGCTGTTTTGGAATTATTTTCTAAATCCATAGAGATGATAGAGAACATACAGTGATACATAAGAAAAATGTGTGGTTTTCCCTAATGATTAATGATGTTGAACACATTTTCATGTATCTATCGGTCATTTGTATGTCTTTGGAAAGATGTCTGTTCAGGCCCTTTACCTTTTTAATTGTTTTTTTTTTTTCCTATTGTATGAGTTTTTTGAATATTTTGGATATTAACCCCTTATTGGATATGTGGTTTTTAATTTTTTTTTTGGCCATTCAGTAGGTTGCCTTTCATGGTACTGATGGTTCCCTTTGCTGTTCCCTTTTAGTTTGGTTTAATAGACTCACTTGTTTGTTTTTGCTTTTGTTATCAAATCCAGAAAAATCACTGCCAAGACTGATTCAAGGAGCATATCACCTATGTTTTCTTCTAGGAGTTTTGCAGTTTCAGGCCTTACCTTAAGATCTTTAGTCCAGTTTGGGTTGATTTTTTTGTGTATGATATATGGGGGTTCAGTTTCAGTTTTTAAGGAAATACGAAACTGTTCTCCTAGAAGCTACATCATTTCACACTCCACTGATATTATCTGACTATTCTGTTCCCCAACATTACATCAAAGAGTTTTGGCATCAATAATATTTCTTGCCTGATCAATAGCAAACTACCCTTGATAAGTACCATGAAGAGAGAAAATAATATTCTATTCAATTATAAGATGTAGCCTAGTCTCAGAGAAATTACTTTTTTTAAAATGTATATCCACTAAAACCCTCTCCAAATATTTTTTTATAAATGACACACTTTTAGCAATTGTTTTAAAGCAGGAAAGCAAGAGTAACTACTCACAACAGTGTATGAAAAAATACCTTTCTCAGTAAAGGAAAAGATAAACAGCTGGGATTACATCAAATTAAAAAGCTTCTGTACAGCAAAAGGAACATTAACCAAAACGAAGAGATACCCTACTGATCAAGAGAAAATTTTTTACTCCATACAACTGATAAGAGACAGATCACAAAGATCTACAAAGAACTCACATGACTCAGCATAAACAAAGTAAATAATATAGTTTCAAAAAAATGGGTAGAAGGGCCTCCCCAGTGGCGCAGCGGTTGAGCGCTGGGTTGTGAAGCTGCCCGCAGCCTCTGCAGCGCTGGTTCGATCCCCGGCTGCTCTCGGCCACCGGAGGAGGGTCCCACATGGCGCACAGACCTCTCCTGCCACCCGCTGCTCCCCTCAGCAGTGTACTTCGGTCCTTCTGCCTGCTCTGCTCCCTGCTCTGGCTCTGGTGAATTCTCTTACCCTCCCGTGCTTCTGACTGTACCCAGTGCTTGTATGAATGAATGAATGAATGAGTGAATGAATGAATGAATGAATAAATCTTTAAAAAAAATGGGCAGAAGAGCTAAAAAGACACATAAGAGGAAATTCAAATGGCCAACAGTTATACGAAAAAATATTCAACCTCACTTACAGTCAAGGAAATGCAAATCAAAACCATAATGAGATACTACCTTATTATGCCAGTGAGAATGGCACATATTAAAAAAACTAGCAACAACAAATGTTGGTGAGGATGTGGAGAAAAAAGAACTCTCCTACACTGCTGGTGAGGATGCAGACTGGTCCAACCACTATGGAAAGCTATGTGGAGGTTCCTCAAACTACTAATAATGGAGCTTCCATATGATCCAGCAATTCTACTCCTAGGAATCAACCCAAAGAATACAAAAACATGAATTCAAAAGGATACTTGCACCCCTGTGTTTATTGCAGCACTATTTATAATAGGTAAGATATGTAAACAACTCTAATGCCCCAAAATAGATGACTGGATCAAGAAGATGTGGTATACACAATGGAATATTATTCAGCAATCAAAGATAAAACTCATGCCATTTGCAGCAACATGGATGGAGCTAGAAGGAATTATGCTCAGTGAAATAAGCTGGATGGTTTCACTTATAGCAGGAATTTAGGGGAACCAAATAAGGGATCAGGGGGAAAAAAAAGCAATAAATAAAAAAAACAAAATTAACAAGGAACTGTAAGTCAGAGGCATTTTGCAGGAGAGGGTGAGAGAGAGGAATTAAAACAGGGGAGGGAAGAACACAAGGGTTCTTGGTAATAGTGCATGGGTCAATTGGTGGTGGGAATTTCATGGGGACTACACCCAAGAGGAGAAAGCAAACTTACAAAAATGAACAATGATGTAAAATACACATAAATAAATTATATTAAAACCCCTTTATAAAAAGGAGAAGAAAATCTTTCTCAAATGTATTTTTATTTCATTTCTGAAAGAATGTGCTTCAGGGATAGCTTTTTTTTTTTTTTTTTTTTTTTTTTTTTTCCCCCTCAAACTTACCTATGAATGTGTTACTAACACTTTGGAAAAAAAATGAAAAACCACAGTAAAGTAAACAATGTGTCCTAGATTTGTGATTTCTGTTAAATATCATATTTCTCTTTGTTTTGTTTAAGGATTGTTCAAGTTTAGAAGAATATAACATTGCTGCAGCATTACTCCCTTTGACCAGTGCTTTCTATAGGGTAAGTTTCACTGGTCTTTATATAAGCTTATTATGATTTATATAAATGTATTCAGTTTGATTGATCATGGACTGCATGAATTCTGTGCCCTTACTATATCTAAGAGATATCTGTGGCTATATTTATTTACAACATTTATTGCATACTATGTGTAGAAAATTTAATAGATACTGTGCAATCATTCCCTAAGATAGAACCATACCCATTCCATCAGTTTTTTTTAAAATCACTTTATAATATCTAAAATTGTATTATGTATTGATTTGTTTACATTTGACTGTTTCTAACACCATAGAAAGTAAATTACATAAGACTGGGACACTATCAGTCTTATTTGCTACTATACCCAAATGTCATTCAGTAATTATTTGTCGAATGAATAAACAGATGAGCAAACTAAATAAATCAATAGGGAAAGATAAAGGAGAGGGGGCGGAGCAACATGGCGGCGAGGAGACGCTGCGAGTAAGATCTCCCATTAAAAAAAGTTAATAGGGAGGAAAAGCGGCAGGTCCCAGTGAGAACTGGGACACGGAAGATAAACGGGTGACTCCAGCGAACTGGCAGAAGAAGAAAGTGGCCATAAAAGAGGACCAGAAGGGAGGGAAGCGCAGAACCCTGCTCCCCTCCCCCGCCCACAGAGGCGGAAAACAACAAACCAAAACGACCAACAAGAACAAACGACGCAGCAAGCGGGACTGTGCGTGGAAAGGAACTATTGCAGCCACCACACCCCGTGAACGGGAGCTGAGGCAAACCCTGCAGGATCCGCCGCGGCGGTGAGCGAACGGCTCCGGGCGCCATTAGAGAAGAACAAAGACTCCGGGAGACTCGCACACAGCCCGGGCTGCCGGTAAGCTTGCGCGGAAAAGTGGCGCGCTCGGCGCGCTTGAAAAGCAAGTGCAGACCGGGATCGCAGCTGCCCAGGTCCCCGCGCCTGCGACCTAGGCTTGCGGGGAGACGACCTAGGCTTGCGGGGAGACGCGCGGAGGTCCTCACTGACATGAAGGTCCCTCCCTGAGTGAGCAGGAACCAGGCGCCCAGGCACGGGAGCGGTGCAAAAGGCGCCATTCCCGCGCCACTGAACTGGGCTACAGCCCCCGTCCTGGAACTGAGGGCTTTGAACTGAGACCCGGGGCACGAAAATTCGGGGCGTGGGTTCTCCACGACGGTGGGGCACAAGGCAGACATAGTACCCCAAAGCTGTTGAGGTGTACCCTACCATTCCCACTCTGTTCCCTGTCCCACGGGGTGGGGGGAGGCGAAAAACAGCCCCCCAAGGACAATAGGAGAGATCTCTGGCGCCACCTAGCGACCAGGAAAAAAAAAGTCACTAACACCCCATAGAACAGGAAATTTCTTAAGACTGCTTGAAAAGGGCAGAAGGCTTCTGTAGGACCCAGTGGCCAGCCAGGAAGTTATTCCACGCCAGGCCCCTTCCGACCAGCAGTCTGAGCCCACAGAGGGAGCAGGCACCCACGTCCGGGGCAGACCGGGTGCGCAGAAGAGTGTGCCTGAAACCGGAGGCACAGGGACTGCATCCTGCTTCGCCATTTGAGAACAGGGACATTTCTTCAGTAAAAACTGCCTAAAACCAGCAGAAAGCTCCCCAGAAGACAGAGATGGCTCCTGGAAGAGCCAGAGGGGAGCGGAGAAGTTCACCCAAGATGCCAGTCAGTCCGAGCAACACAGTGTCCCAACGCATACGACAAATTAGAAAACAGACAGTAGGGAGTAGAAGAACCAAACGCAACCTAACAACACCTCAGGAAAGAAGCACACCACAAAAAGAAAACCACTCCCCAGATTGCAACGACAGCAACTTGGAAGAACTTCTGAGCCTTCCAGAAAGAGAATTTAAAATTGCCATGATTAAAAAAGTGATAGATCAGAAGAAGGAAATTGAGTCCCTAAAGAGGGAAACAATGGTCAGAAGAATGAAATTGAGTCCCTAAAGAGGGAAGTAAAAGAAATGCAGGAGATCAAAGAATTAATGGAGGAACTAAAGAACTCCGGGGAAAGCAAGGAAAGCAGAATAGATGAAATGGAAGAACGAATAAGTTCTCTTGAAGACACAGAAATAAAAAGAACCAAAACAGAAAAGGAAAGAGAAGTACGAAGGAAAGAGAATGAAGAAAGACTTCGGGAACTATCTGACTCCATGAGGAAAGGAAATATAAGAGTTATAGGAATCCCAGAAGGAGAGGAGATGTAGGAACAGAGAAAATATTCCAGGAGATATATTGAAGAGAACTTCCCAAATGCGAAGAAGGAGCTGAAAATTGATATACAAGAAGCAAGAAGAACACCAAACTTCCACGACGAAAGGAAAAGCACAGCAAGACACATAATAGTAAAGCTCCCAAGAATCCAGGACAAGAAAAAATAATGAAGCTGACAAGAGGGAAGAAACAGATAACATTCAAAGAAAACCAATCAGGCTGACATCAGACTTCTCTGAAGAAACACTACGGGCAAGGAGAGAGTGGAGGGACATAGTCAACAGACTCCAAGAAAACAGATGCCAACCAAGAATACTCTATCCCGCAAAGCCTCTTTCCTCCATGAAGAAAGAATATGGACCTTCCCAGACAAAGAGAAACTCCGGAATTTCATTACGAATAAACCCCCACTCCAAAAAATACTACAAGGAATCCTAAAGCCAGAACCTCAGAGGGACGAATAACAACGAAAGAAGACCAAAAAAAAAAAAAAAAAAAAAGTTATTAAAAGAATAAATAAAATCAAAGGAAAGAAAAACATAATGGCAAATACAGATGCTAACATATCAATATTAACTCTAAATGTAAATGGACTAAACTCTTCAATAAAAAAGACACAGAGTTGCAGCCTGGATTAAGAAACAAAACCCAACCTTTTGCTGTCTCCAGGAAACACATTTAGCTACAAAAGATAAAAATAGGCTCAAAGTCAAAGGATGGAAAACAATCCTACAAGCAAATGGGCCAAAAAAGAAAGCAGGAACAGCTATACTTATATCAGATAAAACAGACTTCAAACTCAAAAAAATAAAAAGAGACCCCAGTGGTCACTACATTATGATCAAGGGGACAATACTTCAAGAAGAAATAACACTCATTAACATATACTCACCAAACGAAAGAGCACCAAAATATATCAGACAACTGTTGTCCTCTCTGAAAACAGACATCAGAGAAAACACATACGTAGTGGGAGACTTCAACACACCACTATCAACAATGGATAGATCAACAAGACAAAAAATAAGTAAAGAAACTAAAGCTCTAAATAAGGACCTAGAGCATTTGGGCTTAACAGACATCTATAGAACACTAAACCCAAAAAAAACGGAGTACACATTTTTCTCAAGCGCACACGGATCATTCTCCAGGATCGATCACATACTGGGGCACAAGACAAACATCAACAGATACACCAAGATTGAAATCATACCAACCATCTTTTCTGACCACGAAGGCATCAAACTAGAAATAAATCATAAAAAGAAGGCAAGGAACTATCCTACCTCATGGAGATTAAAAGCCACACTACTGGAAGACCACTGGACTAACAAGGAGATCAAAGAAGAAATTAAAAAATTCTTTGAATTGAATGACAAGGAGGACACCAATATCCTAAATGTATGGGATGCAGCAAAAGCAGTAATAAGAGGAAAATATATAGCAATAGAAGCTCACATCAAAAAACAAGAAAGAACTCAAAGAAACAACCTAATCTCGAAGCTCAAAGATCTAGAAAAAGAACAACAAAAAAACCCAAATCCAGTAGAAGAAAAGAAATAATAAAAACCAAAGCAGAAATAAATGAAATTGAAACTAAAAAAACAATCCAAAAGATCAATGAAACCAAGAGCTGGTTCTTTGAAAAAATAAATAAAATAGACAAACCCCTAGCCAGGCTCACAAAGGAAAAAAGGGAGAAAGCACAAATACACAGGATCATAAATGAAAGAGGAGAAATCACAACGGACACAGCAGAAATCAAAAGAATAATCAGTAACTACTATGAACAGTTATATGGAAACAAGTTCAACAATCTAGAGGAGATGGACAAATTCCTACAACTCTACAATCACCCAAAGCTAGATAAAGAAGAAATAGAACACCTAAACAGACCAATTACAATTAGCGAAATTGAAATGGTAATCAAAAACCTCCCCAAAAACAAAAGCCCAGGACCTGATGGATTTACAAATGAATTTACAAATGACCTATACAAAGAAACTATAAACACTGTTAAAAGAAATAGAAGACGACACAAAGAAATGGAAAGACATCCCCTGCTCATGGATTGGAAGAATAAACATTATTAAAATGGCCATCCTACCAAAAGCAATATACAGATTCAATGCTATTCCAATCAAAATCTCAATGGCATTCTACCAAACATTCAGAGACGAATTAGTGCCTATCCTTCACAAACTCTTCCAAAAAATTGAGAAGGAAGGGACAATACCAAACACGTTCTATGAAGCCAATATTACACTAATACCAAAACCGAATAAGGACAACACAAAAAAGGAAAACTACAGGCCAATCTCCCTAATGAACACTGATGCAAAAATCCTCAATAAAATTTTAGCTATCAGAATCCAACAATGTATCCATAAGATAATTCACCACGACCAAGTAGGATTCATTCCAGGGGCACAAGGATGGTTTAACATCCGAAAATCAATCAACGTTATCCAACACATCAACAAAAAGAAATATAAAAACCATATGATAATATCAATAGATGCTGAGAAAGCTTTCGACAAAGTGCAACACCCATTCATGATAAAAGCCCTTGAAATTCTTGGGATACAAGGAACATACCTCAACATCATAAAGGCCATCTATGACAAGCCAACAGCCAGTATCATTCTCAATGGTGAAAAGCTGAGAGCAATTCCATTAAGATCTGGAACAAGACAAGGATGTCCACTCTCACCACTGCTTTTCAATATAATACTGGAAGTCCTAGCCAGAGCAATAAGACAAGAGAAAGACATCCAA